ATCTCAGAATCCCATACTGGGGTTCAAAACCAACTCATGGAGTGATTGCACAGTCTGATACACATTTGCAAACCTACCAATAACATCTTTACAGAAAACAAGATGTCAGAAAATCAATATAAGCACTCCTATGAACTGGGTGCCTAACTTTGATCAAGATCTGAAGCTAATAGAAAATCTGTTTAGTTCAAAGTTATCAAATCAAAAACAATACATAAAAAATAATTAAAAGCAAAACATTTCATCCACATTTTAAAAGGAAAATCATTTTAAAATATATGTATTCTGTATTTGACAAACAGTTCATTTGACAAATGAAAACTCACAGGAATATGTTTCAGCTATTAGAACAGAATGATAGAGTTTTTATAATACTGGTTTAAAAACGCACTTCAAAGATTGCAGTGTTTGAAGATGTAGATTCTCAGGAGGCAACAGTACTGTTGACTTCTCCTTCCACTGGACACCAACTAACTATTTAAGTTGATTTGCATACAAAGCAGAACTTGCAACATGATAGCTATTCATAAAGGGTGTTTTTTTTTTACTTTTCATATAATACAGTAGTCACACAATGAGGCAGTTCATATTTGTTTCAGTGAATCATTAATTCTTGACAGACACCTGTACAAAATACTTGGACAAAAGCCAGCTAAGATTTTCTGTTATCTTGCATGTTTTATGAATCTATTCACGTCTAAATGCAACACTTTTTTGGGGCGATGAGGCATTTGTTTTTATACTAAAATATCTGAATTACTTTGAATAAAGCTGGAAATTATGTCAAACAAATAAGGCACCAATCTTTTTGTAAGATATTTACATCTTTTAAGGACATTCGGTAGACTGATTCCCCACTGTTGGTTCAACCCCAAAACTTGTTTGTATTCAAAATTAATTATGACAATGCATATTTATATTGAAACAAATATGATAAAGGGAATTATATTATATAACAAAAGGGCAAAGGTCACCAGAGTTCAACTATGTTTGAGAAATCGCATGGCAGTGTTCATCGGGCCCATTACTAGTACATGTATGTGATGTGAATTCATGACACCATGAAATAGTATTATTTTGTGTGTTACAGTCATGTATTTTGAGAAACTCGTCCTAATATTTTTCAAAAATATTATATCAGTTCCGTAGAGCATTGTGTTATACTAAAATTGCATTTTCGACACTTTTTAAAACTCAGATTTTTGAAATAATTCCGGAAAACAAAAGTACCCCGTCATGTATATACACATCTAAAAACATCTAAAATTACAATTCTTATTTATTTGAATTAGATTTTTTACGAAAATAAAAACAATTGATTACAGCTTACGAAAATACCCCTTGCCGACCCCCTGTAACGGTTTCTGCTATTTTAGTTCTTAATTTTGAACCACTCTTTGAGGCACATATGTATGGTTGCCACTGAGGGTGTGTGAAATCACCTGAAATTTATGGTGGGACTACTCCACCCCAAAAGATCGACGCTGAGGGCGCCTTTGACTAATAAATTTGCTTTTTTTTTGTCATATCCGTATACTTCTACATGGAGTAAACCGTGAAAAGGGGGGTCAAACAAAGGGGTGGGCGCATGTTTGTTCAAGTTACCAACTTGAAAATATGAAAACAATTTAACACTATTCAGTGACAATTTTGAAACAATGCAGAAGATACAGAAAAAGTTTACAGTCAAACTGAGGTGCTTGATTTTATGTCAACTGTTATTTATTGTTTTGTCAAAGTTGTGGACAGTCATTTATATCAAGCCAATGTTATAAAAAATGCTAGTCTATAATATTTTATTACAAGGGAAATACACCATTTCCATAATTGAAAATTTAGACCAGAAAAACAGAAATTTATGTATTAATATCAATATTCCAAAAAAAAAAATAAAAGTGATGTGCAGATATTAATATCAATATTCCAAAAAAAAATAAGTTATGTCCAGATATTTAAATATATTATGAGTTGAAGAGAAGACATAATAATAAGCCAATATTCATATTTATACAAAATATTTGATATCAGAAATAACAATAACGGACATTTTACTTTAGTTTTATATGTATTGTACTTTATTACTAACATTTTATTGCTGTCAACCAATGGAAACTATTTCTAAGGGTGCAATAAATTTTAATATTATTATAATTAGCCGTGGTCATTGTTACGTTGTACAAGAGTCACCGAACAGTTAACTAAATGATTAGAGGGTCCAGTCAGACTAGTATGATCTTACCATTTAACAGAGACTGGTAATGAACAGTTATTCCTCAGCTCCTGAGAGCGAGGTTATTTGTAGATATGTTGGCGATTGCCGCTGTGTCTGCGAAGTACTATGGGAGATTGCATGATGGGAGTGAAAAGTCTT